TTTGAAATAAAAAGAATCTGATAATGATATTTCATTTTTATTTTTATTTTTAGTTTGCCAATTAAGGACTAACGTCGCATTCTCCGAGTGTTTGGAAAATATTGTTGTGTCTGCATTCGCACTACTGCACACAATCGGTAACACTACTGTATAATTAAAGTCAGGAATCAAGTATCGAAGAGCTCCAAAAAAAGTAAGTATATGTATGAAAATCGTTAGTAAATCTTTGAATGGATGTTTTTATTATTATTATTGTTATACGCAAACACACACACCAATACTTTTTTTAATAAAAATTACATCGGTTATTAACGTCAGACAATCTAAAGGAGAAATGAGCACACCATTATGACGTCAATCGTCGTCTATTTTCTATTTTTACGCTAACTAACCGAAAATGTCTAACCGGAAGCATATAGGTGTAGAGCATATTATAGTTTTTCGCGAGGGTGTTCTACCTATGATTAGTCACATATGATAGATAATATTGTTATCATACCCATCCTTGCGTTAATATACGTTTTGGGAAATGTTTTTATTATTATTGGACATGGTATAGTTAAAAATAATATTTCTGTAACTAAACTTACTATTTCATAAAATAGATTTTTATCCATTATCTAATCAATTCTAACTTGGCAGCACAATGCAGTCCAAGGTAAGTCCAAAGTTAATTAAAACGAGTGTCCTCATCATTTAAAACAAAAAATATATACCTCAATGGTGACTAAGATACGAACATCACCTTTAATTTCAAATAACTTTAGCATATGAAATATCTTTATTTTATTGATCATAATTTTCTTAATTTCTTTAGTATAAATTTCTTTTGATTTTTTACTTAAATTTGTCTTTAACAGTCTATTCAACACATAATGAATGGTAAGAGAGTGTGTTACCTAAATATTTATTTTTAATCGGTGAACTAAGACATTAGGTATGTAAGATTATAAATGTATTAAACAGCTTTTAGAACACTCATTATATTTTTTTTCTATTCAAAAACTAAGTATTTAATGCGAGGACCTGTAAATCCTTCCGGTTCACCGTGTATAGAGTGAAAAATATCTTTATTAATGATGTCAATAAGACGTCATATTATGGAAAAGCGGAAGCCAATTATTTTAATTTTAGATTCTGGGCAAATTCATAGGAATGTATTGGTTAATGATTTTTCAATAATTTTGTACAATTGATTTATTTGTCTGTATCATCACGTTTGGAACAAACTTCGAAATTTGATCTAGTAGAGATTTTGGGAGAGTATAGTGAAATAACAAAATATGTTCGACACTCTAATAAATAATTGGGATAAACAACTAACAAAAATGTACGGAAAATAGGAACCTAATCAGTTTCCGTATAAAATCGATTTTGTTTTTTTGTGTCGTTATTCAGAAAACAGTTATCTCGGAGACTTGAAATGTTCACCAAAAATACTTATATATGTACAGTCGAATCACAATAACTAGAGTTATCACTTCGAGATATTATGTATAATTCGAGATAACCAACTCGAATCTAACCAAATAACCTAACCTCAATGGAATAAAATAATGATAATCGAGTTGTCAAGCTTTTCGAGTTATTGGGAATGTGTTAGCATTTTCTAGACATTATATAACTTTTAAAATATTTTTGATCTATTTATATGCATTTGAAATAAACTATTTCTTTAAGTTTTATTTTCAATTAATAATGAGAAAAATATGATGTGTCTGTAAAATATATTATTGTAAATCTAAATTCAAATAATTTAAAATAAAATTAAAATAACCATTGTTTGTGCAATATACATATATAAGTATTTGGTAGTAATTTTCAAAATATTAATCGTAGAGACTTGAAAGATTTCACCATTACATAATATATTATTAATTTCTGAAAACAATTCAATTTTCAAAATATTTAGACTAACTTTAAACTATTTATCCCACGAACATAATTATAATTCACACCAATTGTCGGTATGGACTTATAAGCTTATGCGACATCTGTGCAATACAATAGTTCAACCTACTGAGTTAGTATAGCTATCCTTAGAAATTGATGCTGATACACTCATCGCATTAACTCATGACCGTTTTTTTCAAATAATATAAAAAAAATATCAATAATTATCTCTAAATTCAAATTTAACACGTAATCCAATACAGCGACTTACTCAATAATGAGGTACACTCAAAACAGTCGAAACATACTATTCACTATTCAGTAGCTGATGCAAGTTCCACAGTTTTTTATGGTTTATGAATTATTTTCATATAGTATGTAGTCTGTACTTACATACTATTCACTATTCAGTAGCTGATGCAAGTTCCACAGTTTTTTATGGTTTATGAATTATTTTCATATAGTATGTAGTCTGTACTTACATACTATTCACTATTCAGTAGCTGATGCAAGTTCCACAGTTTTTTATGGTTTATGAATTATTTTCATATAGTATGTAGTCTGTACTTTTTACGTATAATATTATTAAATTGTTTATTATCATCTTAAAACTAACATTATTTCTAGACAATTTTCAACTACTCATTGACACAATAAGTATCATTCATTTTTTTTATTTCATCATTTATTTAAAAATTATATCTATGGCTATGTAAAAAATATATTTTCAATTTTAACCGTGTAATTTGTTGATCTTGAAAACAATCCGCACACCCAATTCAAGCTCTTCATCTAAACAAACCCTTATCTTTACCACCTTACATATATCCCAGTGTTTTTTTTCTTACATAATACTATATATTATATTAAAATAATTATAAATGTATCACTATACAGTCACCAGACTATATAGTTCCACTTAATCTGTGGTCTTGATAACAATTACATTTTAACCATTTGAAATAACGTTCAATAGTAATATCGAAGGAGGGGATTGTGAATCAAGTTACTTTCATTCCATATTATGGACTATTGTAAAAGCTGATCACATAATCATATAGATTCTGTAACTAAATTGTAAACTAATTTTCTGGGTCAACATATTATATAATATATTAATATATGTATATAATATTATAAGAAGATAGAAATAACAATACGATTTAACAATGATACTATCAGCAGAAAAAAAATTAAGTTAAATATTATAATTAATTGGTAAGTGCATACATAACATTCAACATATTTCGGTTAGTTGTATACAAGACTAGGATCACAAAACGTATGAAAGAATACATTCCTTTCACAGCTTTCAGTTAGGGTTTAAAAATTTTTTTTTATTTTAGTTATCAAAAAATAATAGCTACTTATGGTAAGATAATTATTTTGTTTAGGAAAAATTTCATAGTTATATTCAAGCACATCGAATCGATTTGATGAATACACTTTTTTGACATTCATAGTCCAGTATGTTACAGTAGGTAATACGAAATAAGTGCATTTTAACCCACCTGACACTATTTAGTTTTTACGAAAACGTATACTCATATCAGGTAAGTACCTATAATAGTATAATATACACAATATTGTCATTCTTTGTGTATGGGACAATAGTGTCGTACTTAGGTTAGGTTACCATCACATCGTAGTCCACGCGGATACACCAATACACAGGAATACAAACTGACGTACATAGTATTTTATATGTGCCATAGGGGATGATAATGTTTACGATCAATTTTTCGTTTTTGAACCGCGAGCTGTCCTACTTGACACGTCGTGCGTGATGACGCGTACAGCCCCTGCCCCCCCCCCTAGGTATGTGTAATATTATAATATACAAATGTCACTAGAACTTGTTTTTCCGTCGAAAATCGTTATTTTCCTACTTTATTTTTTATACCTATTAAATGTGCGCATATAGCGACTGCCGAGACCTAAGCCCACACAGATGACGTTATCCCCCGAGTATATGGTGCATGGTATGATACACCTACACGCGCTGCACGGTGCAATGTATCGTAACACTTAATAATAATAATATTTGCGTGGCCATCATCCCCGACGGTGGTGGTACGACAACGTGACCGCCACCGGGCCCGGCTGCAGGGTGACACTGGTAGTGGTAGTGGTAATGGTGGTGGTAGTGGCAGTGGCTGTTGTTGTAGTAGTGATGGGAAATACCCCCACGATGTGTTCTGGACCGTACAGTGGCGGTGGCGGTGACAGGACAACTATAGCGAACGCGGACGCCGGGCGGCGACAGAGCAGTATGTCATCGTTCGTTGACGTCACCGCGTGTGTCCGTCCGCGCTCTCCGCGGCGGCGGCGTCGTCGTCCGCGGAGGGGAGCGCGCGAAATTCGCCGCGCGCGTGTCTGTGTGCGTATACGTTTGCGCGTGTGTGCGTGCGTGCGTCCTGAATGAATGAACCCCCGGTCGCCTTGGGCCGGTCCTCCCGTCCGTTCAACAGGTCGCCATTGGTCAACCGGTGGCCGGGTGGAAAACCCACGGTCGCGCGGGTGGGGGCCCGGCGGGCCGCCCTTACGTTAGCCGCCGCCGCCGCTTCTGCTGCTGTTGCCGCCGCCGCTCGGTCCACCGTCGAGACTTAAATGTCCACCGGAGTCAGGTGACCATCTCAGTTGATCGTTTTCGGTCGACGGTGGTCATCCGTACAAATATATAATATATTATAATCATCATCATCATCGTCGTCGTCGTAGTCCCGTATACTGCACGCGAGTTTTCACACTATTTGTTTAATATTATTATTAATATTTTTTTTAATTTGAGTCGTATCGTAACTTAAATATTATACGTATATATATACAACAGACTTTTCAGTTCGTTTATTTAACACACATTCATTTATTATTATTGTTTTCCGATCGTTTTTTATTATTATTTTTGTTTGACGTTCGTATCGACATCGCAATCGCCGGCACAATATAACAACGACTCTCTCGGTACGCTTGTGACATAATATACGTATATTATATTATTGTATTAACCGTAATCAGTACGATTGGACGTGCCTAATATTATCGACGGAATACGTTTTTTTACCGTTTTTAATTTTTTACACTTCTACTCGACCTCCTACGGCCTTATGGAGTCTTACGAAGGCGCCGGGTGCGTCGATTGTTATCGAGAACACTGCAGGCAGCAAACGCCTTCGGTGCCGGTCACGACAACCGTGTCAGACCGCCGGACGCCGTCGCTACAGATGAACCGCTGCCAAACTGCCCCTAGGAGATTCGATTTCACCCGCCGTTCGTGTCGACTTTTTATCGGTGAGTCCCCGAGTCGTCTTTATAATATTATTATTCACCTATACATGTTAACCGTACTTTCTATCGAATAAGCTTCTCTTTCAAAATATTGTCATAATATAAGTAATTTTTCGCACAAATTCGCAGGACCGCGTTCTGTAAAATTCTCACCGTACGTCCGTCTCCTCAATAATAAGAATATTATTATAATATAATGTATTATATTATGACGAACGATAATAATTTAATATTGTTATACATATAATATTAGAATTTATCACACCTAACAATAATAATAAAAAATAAAATAATAATGAAAAAATCCGACTGATCGCTGGGACCACGTTAGCGTTTTTTGTTATCATTTCTTTTGCGTGCAATGTTGTTTTGTCTGCAGCAGCCGTGCGAGCGGCAAACGACACCGGTTGCATTTCGTCCGGAGCCGTTCGAAAATTTACCTCACACCGCATTTTGATGACGATGACGGTGACAGTAGTATATTAACATGCTCTTTACATTGAGTTTTCATTAATCTCTTGATTAGGTTGCCTCTTTAGTCTTCACTTCAGATACACGTCTTGTAGGGTTGCAGCTCTGTCACCGTCGTAGTCTCTTTATTTTTTTAGAGTGTTTTGACTGACTACGATGGTAGTAATAACGAGCGCGATTCGCCTCCAAAAAAAAAACAATAAAAATCCTTGGTCTTTCATCAATACATTACGAACTTTGTCATAACTCTATGTCTTATTGTCATTTGTTATTATATCGCTGCAATAGTAACGTGTGAGGCAAATAATCCACCTTGCGCGACATTGCAATATACGCTCGACAATTCTTACGGTTTTCGATTATTCGTCACAAGTTATATTGCGTGATCGTAATCGATCCATATGTACGTATTTATTTACTATAAATATATATATATTCTGACATAATTTTACTACTCGATAAGCTTTGAGTACCGCGCCAAGTGATTTTCATTCGCGTTTCGGTTATAACATGTAGGTACCTATAGGCGTTTCGATAATACATAGAAATAAAATGACGTGTGCACTAATTATCTTAATGGATAACAAATTAAAATAAAACAATCACGGCCTTCCGATAACATCGATAGTCGTCGATTGATCGTGAATGTTTTCATATAGGTACTGAACTATTAATAATTATGTACGAAAAATAATAAATCGCGCATGTGTGTACCTCACGTCGCCGCAGTACATTTTAGTCGTCGCTTGACGGCGCGTCGACGTCGTTGTGCCTTTCGTGATAGCACTATAGCAGTACCTAAATTACGTGTAGTGCCGTCTGTGACATGGTCACAAGTACCTAAACTGGATTAGAATTATGTAGACGAATTATTCAAGAAATATGGTCGTTCGAATTGCTAATGGCCCAACGAATCCGACTTGATTCATTTATAGGTACGATTTAATTTTTATTACTCAAAACCATATTTTAACATTTTAATTTACAAATAGCGAAAAAAATTATTTTTGTTTATTATACACAAAACAAACTATGTTTTGTATTTGAAGGATAAATTAATTTTTTTTAATATGATGTTTTGTTTGTTATTATTCATATTATTACACACGTTTATTACCAAATATAAAAATTAAAACTGTGTTCCAGATAGGTTCATAATAAGTGTTTATGTTTTCTTCATAATTTGAGTAAATTAAAATTGTAGTGTAAATAATAGCGGCAATTTGATATTTTATTATTGATGAATACAATTATGTATTGAGAGCTATACATTTTTTTTTATTCAAAAATCTGGGAGTGTGTTTTGGTAATCAATTTATAACAATATTAGAAAAATTACTCACTATTATTGCTATGAATACATATAAAATAAGCAGAATTCGCACTTTCAATTCGAACATTATGACATTATATAATGCAAGATAATAAAAAAATAATCTTGGCCACTTAAAACAAAATTCTGAACTATGTAGGTTTTTTTTCGTCTTGGACTTTCATGGTGGTCAATAAATGTATGTTTTACAGACACCATCGGTGTTGTAATACGATCGGTTAATCAAATGGCATCTAATAAGGTGGGTCATTTTCGACAACAATAACAAAACAGATGCCGTGTTCAAATAACATATAGCATGTATATCATATTGTATATATAAGTTGTAAATACTCGATAATACAACGTTAATACTATGATATACGAGGACGGGGTATATAGGTATATATGTATAATATTATATCGGAAAAATATTTACGTCGAGCACTATTTTCTATACAAAGCGCTAATATGCCTACCTACTTTAAAACTGTGTTTCTCTAAGAGGATAACAATTATATAATTTTTTTCCTCCGATTCGCGTACACGCACACATATACAATTAAAATAGATATTGTATATAAATATATATATAAATAAATATATACGTATATATATATAATATACACAAGAATAAGTTAGACTGATGTCGTCGTAATAATGTACGAGATGAGATGAACAGCGGCTTCGACAAATAGGTACATAGTACATACATATATATATTATATATATAAACCTATAATATGTATCTACCTATCGAAGACCTATAGTAATTCCCATCGCATCACCTGCAGTGGCGGTGATCGGGCAAACGGGTTAGCAAAATCGCACGGGGTTTAAGATAAAAAAGAAGAAAAAAACGTTGTAAAATCGCCGGTTTGCCGTGAATTTTTCGCTAATTGCTCGCCGAGCTTTTCGAAAGAAAAAAACCGCCGTCGCGTCTATGTTGTACCAAACGAAATGAAAAAAAAAAAAAATAATAATAATAATAATAAATAATCGATGCGAAAAAAAAACCTACCTGCAACTATAATATACCTATATTATTACAACTACTCCTCCACCTCGTCCTCGTTCGTCCTCTTCGTCCTTCTCTTACAATAGTCCTCTACTCGTCTTCGTCTCCGTCGTCCCTCTTGCAGTGTATACCTGTACTCGAACCGTCGCGGCCAAAGACGTCGTCGTCGTCGCGCGCGCGCGCGCGCTCGCGCTCTCAAACCGTCGCGCGTGTGTGGTCCCCGCGCGACAACAATACCACACGCAAACGACCGGCCGGCCGGACGATAATAATTAGCCAGTAATGTGCGCTGCTTGTGTGAGAGATCTGTTGCCGCTGTTCGGACGCTGCGACGACCACGTATGGACGACGACGACGACGGTCGGATCGGAGACAGCCCGGCGGGCAGTGGTTTCTTTCCCGCCGCCGCCACCCTCGTCCGCAGCGCGATCGGCGCGCGAGCAAAGTATAGCTAATTGGGGGTGCCAGACGAAGATGCAATAATTAAACGTAAATAATATTATGTGCATACGTAACCGTACCGGTCTGCGAGAGCAATATCGACACGATTCGGCCGATTTATAATGTTAAAAAATAGGTAGTATATAATATGTGTAGCTGGAATTGAGTTATATATCATCAATTATATTATTACATATGAGACAACCGCGTTCATTTCGGTAGTTTTTTTCCCCCGAGCAATCGACTTAGTCTTTAAAAAATTCTTTCTCTTAAAAAAAACGTATATATATTATTATAATATATCATATTATACACACCTATAGTCTATACACAATAAGAATATATCCTACGTTTGATTAAAACTTATTTAGTTATTTGGATTTTTGTTATTTGCAGCCGGTTCGTTCGTCATCGGACTGATCTTGGTGCCCTGCGCTATGTCCGCACCCGCCAAACCGTCAAAGTCTCCGTCGCCACCGCCGCCGAGCCCGATCGTCGCAACCGGCACGCCGTTCTGGCACAACCCGTGTGGCACGGTGTTGACTTATGACGGCAGTGGCGGAGGCGCCACTGGCGCCATGATGAGCAGCGCCGTCAGCCACGACATTATGATGGAAGCGGAACCGGAATCGGATTCGGTGATGCGGCGCGAAGAGGACATCATCCACGGCATTGTCGTGGCCGCCGGTCAGGCCCTGACGCACGTCGAACAGTTCACCGGTGCTTTTGTAAGTACTCCCAAATGACACTTAAATCGATATGTTTAAATTATTGTAACTATTTAGTTTTCGATTGATTTGAAAAAAATAACCGACATTATATGCATTTTACGGGAGTTATATACACTTCAGTCACAACCCTGCAGGAATCCTAATATATTTTATATGGCTGCAGAATTCCATCGGATAATAATAGTAATTCAGTTCATTTTTTAGAAATTAATACTCTCGCTTTAATATTGTTGTCACATTGTTTACTGACGGTCCCAATAGTCTGTAAAATGGAAAGGTTCATTTTTTTAATTACGTCACTTTTTGCACCGAATTAAGTGTAAATTTGGATCCATAGGACTCAACTGTAACATTTCCTATTGAACTTACTTAATAGGTATACCAAGCGTTGTAAGTTCTGGTGGCCTATCCATGCTCATACCTATTATCCATGATGGTTTGGCCATCCCCCTATATGAGGGAATAGTATGATAACAGTAATAATATTACAGTCCGACAAAATAATACACGGCAAAAATATATCGTATACAATACCGTCGGTTGATTATAAGTTATAAGTTATAATAATATTATTATGATCGGTTGGACGTGAGCATAATAATAATATTATCACGCGGCATAACTATAATAATAATAGTTAAATTATGATATTATTGTACATTGCATATATAGGTAGAGGTGTACACTAATATATTATAATAATAACATATTAATGTGATTCACCGGCGGCGGCACGCGGCGTCGATGACAACGTGTTCGTGTGGCGCCGCCGCACGTGCGTTTCGAGTGCGCGCGCGTGCGTCCGACCGCGCGGCCACAGAGGGGGTCGAGCCTCGGCGACGGTCGAGATGAATGAAATACGCGTGGCGGCGGCGATAGAGAATCATCCGCGGTCGATTAGAAACGGTCGTCAACGCCGCCGCCAACTCTGGTCGTGTTTGGGAGGTCGTACATTTTCAGGGGCGGTACCGTAAAATACGTCCGTTAAAAACTAGTTACATTGTTGTCGTATGTGCGAACAAACCGCACGCAGACGGAAATGCCGACCGGACGGAATAAAAACATAAAAATATTAAATATGAACGTGTAAAGTGTAATGTGTATTACGAACTCGATGACCTGTGCAAGTGTGCCCATACAGTTAATAAGGATCGTATGTGTGCGAGCGCAGGCCGTCTACGATGTTATTTTTGTGGTCGTACGTTTAAGTCACCGCAAACACGCGGCTCGAGTTCAACCCCCTCTGCTCGAAACCACGGGAACGTCACTCGATTTTAATAATATACCTATGCATTGTGTAGTATCGTAATAATTCGTGTGCTGTGCCGTGGTGTGTCATCGGTAAAACCTGCTGAGAAGAAAACTTTCATTGTGTCGCATTTTTTACTAGAAGAACGCTTTTCCGCGTTTTGACGGATACGTGAAGCGACACGACTTGGAAAAAAAGTTTATATCTCATACAAAAAGCAGGGCTTAAAGTGAAAAAAAAATCCAGAGGGGACTTATTATTTCTCCATATAGTTTTGAGCGTTCCATATAACTGCCCATGACTATATGACTATATGCCTATTCCATTATAATGTCTAATGTAAAAAATCCTAATTTGTTAAAGGGGACTCTTTTTAACTTCCTTCAGAGGTAGGGGGACTGAGTCCCCCTGCGCCCCCCCTAAACTTTAACATTGACAAAAAGACAATACGCCGCTTAGATCCTTGGTTTTCATATATCCAATTTTAGAAGGCGAATTACGTAAAGAAAATAAAACAATTAGCACGTCATGTAATATCGTTTTCAACACTGTTATTATTTACCTCAGATGAGCAGTGATATATACGTAATATTGTGCTGTCTAACGAAGAGGTTTATGTACAGTAGTATAAGTCATTGTGCATAATATAGTCCGAAAAAAATGTATTCGTTCCCATTTATTTGTCAGGTGTAGACAATAATATATATTTTATATTATTATTATACTAATACTCACGCGTATTAGCGTTATTGTTTTTTTCGAACTTTAAAACGACATGTAACCAGCGCTGCACTGCGACGTCAAGTTCCCACGGTCTGCACGCGATAATATGCGCCGCCGCCGCGTGTACGACAATATGTGTAAACACAACAAGTCGTCGTCGGCTTAGAAAAATACATTAGTTCGCACCTAAATTATTGTTTCCGCCGTTCGTGTGAGTACGTCGACGAGCCGCGATATTTATATATATATACACCGTAAACAATATTTGTACCTGTACGATAATATTATTATTATAATATGACGTAGGTATATTGTACGAGAAAATATCGGGAAACAGCGATCGAGACGAAATGCGTCGGTGGCACAGCTGCGGCGGCAGAATATAATATTGACGTACACACACCGTCGGCGGCGGCGGCGGCGGTTGAGGAAACGTATCGGTTTTCCGTTGCGAAAACTACCGATCGAAGCCGTTTATAAGTCATATTATGTTATAAGCAATATGAAAAAAAAACTACGTTAACCGTCGTCGTCATACGTGTTATATTATGATGTACCTGTACGGTCCAACAAAACGATTTATTTATTCCGTCGATCGAAGCGTACGCGTATACCGCTTGTCCGCTTGTCGCTGTTTTTCCTCGAAGTGCACTGCGAAATTACGACATCGCCGCAGAAACGTGCGTGTTTCTTATTATGCCGCCTACGCCACCGCTGCTGAGCGTGCGTATTATACAACTCGGGAAGTGATCGAACAAAACAATATTATCTTCTAATGGCCTTTGGCTGCCGAGTTGTTATTGAGATGAATAAAAAAAAACAAACAAACAATAATAACAATATAATAATTATACAACCCTTTCGCGTCGGGTTTTATTTATTATTATTATTATTATTATTTTCAAAGACGGAGAGCGACAAAATGTCAATCGCACGCGCGTGTACAGAACGTGTAAACAATAATCGGTGTTTACGATAAAATTAAATATTATAATGCGTTCGGTTAACCTACATCAATAAGAATCCGTCAACAATTTACAATAATAATAAAATATAATATGATTCTCGACTACCCAAATGATAAATCAACATTATAACCGTTATAATATAACGCTTATAGCACAATAATATTATATAATGCGGACTCCTAACTAAATTTTAATTGTAAACTTATTATATTATCTCATCTATGATACAGTCCGGTGTCGAGCACTCGAAAGGGATAAAATAAAATTCTACTAGTGTTTTTATCAAGTAAAATACATCAAGTATAACTTATAAAGTCAAACACTTTAGGTTTTCGGGTTATAAAGGTTTTTGAGTTATTGTGACTCGGCTGTTTGAGTATAATATAAAGGAAATGTTCCAAACTCTGTATAATTATTATGTAGAAACATAAATAAAAAGGTAGGCAAGTGGATGTCGCTCTGCTGTACAGTAGGTTACAAGTGGGTCACTGTAATGGATGGTGTTCAATTTGAATTCAATGATATAATATCATTTTAGGTATGAGAAAAACGATTCTGGCCGAAAACGGTCAGCCTATGATATTACTAGGTATATTTGATGATATTATTGTGAATAAAGCAATTTATATATAACCTATTTACGTGGAACCTTGTTTTAAATGTTCAATCCTTAGCTATAAAAGTTGAACATTTTATAAATTTTTTACTACAAAATAATTATTAAATTTTAAATTTAATACATTTTGTCAAAATTCGAACTTTAAAATATGCTTATAAAAAAAAAATTGTGCCTATTTTTTTTCAAAGTTTTTCAACTGCTATTGTAACAATATATCAGGAGCGTTGCATTAAATTGTCACGCTTTTTTACCAAATAAATACATTTTTATTGATATTTATAGAAAAAAAAACTAAAAACATTTAAAACTGACAATGTCCGTAAAGAGCTAAAAAAGAGTCAAAATATTTTCAAAATTTTATGGTGTATAGAAAATGAAAATATAAACATTCAGTATAATTTTCATTTTTCATGTACCTACGGTCATTTGTTTAAGAGTTGCACCAAAAACCAAAATCAATATTTTCTCGAAAACCGATTTTGAGTAAAAATTCCTGTTTTCCTTCATTTTTCTTTTGTTTTTCACGCCGTTTTTGAAAACTACTGGGAAATTTTTACTTTTGGCCCCCCAAAGTACCAACTAGATTCACTTCCTGTCAGAAAAGATACTGTTGAAGAAAATCCAATCATTTTTACTTTCCTAAAGGGTGATGACAAACACAAAAATAAAAACCCAAAAAAACACACATCATTGTAAAATCAATAGGTACATTCATAGTTTCACTCATAATCTAAAAGTGTTAAAGGGGAAAATGTTCTGTTTACCCCCTTACAAATAACGATGTGGCTATATTATTATTGCGTTTCTAAGAATTCATCTTTTCTAAATAAAAATAATAAGAACAATAGTATTTTTCTTTTCGTTCTCTTTAATAACTTTATACCTATATATAAAACTTTAATAAGTGAAAATTATTTTGACGAGATTTCAGATGATGCAATCATTATTTAATAATTACGTATATTGTTGGATGTTTTTACTCTATTCGAGCGTAGGTATAAATGACAATATAATAACTACCAAATTTTTACCCACTAAAGTATTTAGTTTCTACTTCGTTTTTCGTTCAGACGAACACAAGTGGCATGCTTAGAAAACTGACACTATTTCTATACCGATGGATAATATTGTTTAGAACGCGTTTGAACCAGACTAACCCAATCGAAACCTCGTCATGATGTTATCGTCTAAACTCGTAATGATTATAATTTATAATTATTATTATTATATTTTATGCGTACGCAGTACGCACGAATAATTATACAATATTTATACTTTTCTGGATGACTCATTTCGTTTTCTATCCGTAAAATTATACGCACTATTATAATAATATACGTCTATACACGATCAGCGGAAAATAACAATCAAGATAATTTTCGATCTCTTCTAGATGTATGAATGTATAATAATATTTTGTTTGTATGTGGTGTGTTTA